AATGCAACAAAAATAGATAATGGGAAGTGACTAGAAAATCCAGAATATTTTAAGATTTTTGAGGATATTTTACATAACTAAGCTAATAAACATGAAAATCTGGATCAAAGCACAATTTTATTCTCATTATTAAGGCTTTCTCCAGAAGTAGACATAGTTAATAATCATAGAAGAAACCAAGAAAGTTACCAAAGATCTCTGAGGTCTTTATTTAGGAAGCAAATCAGTGCCTTGGAGACTCTTCCGAACGTCAGTTAACACTGCCACATCCTGCTCTCTCTCTGTTTCAGTTTCTATACAGGAGCCTCTGCGCTGCTTATTTGATTATTTTATTGCAGTTTGCCTCTGTCACTTTACAAAAACGGTGGCACACAGAAAACTGGAATTGCTAATCCTATGACAAAAATTATAAACGTCCTGAACTATGCAGTTGGAAATCATTAGATACCAAATTGTGTAAAAGCTTTCATCGCAGTAAGACACACAACAGGAGATCTTGAAGGAGTTATTCACCCTCTGATCACCACCAACTTCTACCCTCTCATTCTTTCTAACACCCCATCTGCAGCAATTCTAGAACCCCATCTGTAACCCACACAACACAAGCCTGCCACTTTTTCAGTGTCTTCACTCCTTACCTAGTTTATACTGCATAATCCATCATTACAACTGCTCCCTTGCATACATCGTCAGTGCCCTCGCTTCTCTCCCTTTGTTATTCTCAACTAGGAAAGCCCCAACTCTAATTAAATCCATCTTTCTATTTCACAGTTGTAGCCATGAAGTCACCAGTGGCTGGAGAAAAAACAATCATACTGACTGACACTACTTTAAATTCATGTCCACTAATCGTCAGTGGGTTTTTGGTATAGTCTGGAATTCTACCTTTTCTCCATAATGCCCTCTTTTAATTTCCTATTTCAAAAATTTTTAAAAGACTTATGTATTTATTGAGACAGGGGGGTGGGGACAGTGTACACACCTGAGTTGGGGGAGAGGCAGAGGAAGAGAATCTTTAAGCAGAGCGCGCTGAGCGTGGAGCCTGACATGGGGCTTGATCTCACAACCCATGAGATCATGACCTGAGCCAAAACCAAGAGTCAGACACTTAACCTACTGAGCCACACGGGCACCCCTTAATTTCCTATTTCATACCTTCTTTCTTTTTAAATCTCCAAACCTCCTCTCCCAAGCAAGGAAATCACTCCAGCAATTGTCCTCCTCTTTCCTGCATGCTCAATCTTCCTTTTCTACGGGACCATTCCCACTGACACATTAGCAGGCTATACGTTCTTTGCCTCAGCTGCTGCTTCATTTTTCTGCTCTCATTTATAGGAAAACTCAAAAAATTGTCTATACTTGCTGTCTCCACTTCCTCTCCTTTCCTTCTGTTGAACACAACCCGCTTAGACTTTCACTCCCAACAGTCCACTGAATCCGAGCTTGTCAACTTCACCAGTGACTTCCTTGTTGCTAAATGCTCAAGGCTTGGTGGTCATCTTAATCATTTCACCATCAGCACCATTTCCAACACCAGAGACCCCTTCCTTCTTGAAATACTTCTTTCCTTGACTTCTGAGACAAAATCCTCTTGATTTTCCCATTTCCCTCCTTCTAACCTAATGCCTTTTGCTATTCCTCCTACTCTTCCTGCTCCCTAAGTGCTGGAGTGCCCCAGGGCTGGGCTGTCTTCTCTTTTCCATGTGTACTCACTCTGACAGTGATTTCATTCAGTCTTAAGGCTGTAAATATCTTTCTGTTGACTATTGCCAAGTTTTTGTCTATAGTCCTGGAACTCCATACTCATGTATCCATCTGCCATATCTATTTTCCCATTTGGATGTCTACTATAAATCTCCAGCTTATATATATCTGAGACCATACTTCCGATTTCCTGCTCCTTCCCTAGTCTTCTCCCTCTTGGTAAATGATCCCTCCATCCTTCTAGCTGGTCAGGCCAAACAAACCTTGGAGTCATCCTGAATATTCACTTTCTCTCACAGCCCACATCTGATCCAATAGTAAATCCTGTTGTCTCTACATTCACAATGTCAGGATTTTTGTTCCTCACCTCTACTGCTACCATCCCAATCTGAACTACCATTATCTCTTTGCATTAATGAAACTGCCTCAGAATTGAGAGAGGGACTGTAGGACATCCAGCTGGTGTTGTGGAGAACAGTTTGGTGTGGGGGTAAAAATCTCCACACTTTTGGTGTCAGAAAGCAAGTGCTGTGTAAAAGTAAAGCAGATACACAGTAGGGAAGAACTGGGTTTTTCATAGTGGGAAAAAAGAAAACAGTTCTTTCCTAAACAGCGAACTTCCAAATCAATAATAGCAAATGAACACCTTGATAGAAAAATGAGCAAAGGACAAGAAACATACAATTCATGGAAGAAAAAAATGAAAATTGACATAAAAATATATTTGACCTCTAATCTAATCAAAGGATGCAAAAGAAAAAAATGAGCTGTATCTCTTAACCTATATCATTGGAAAAGATTTTTTTAAAGATTTATTTATTTATATTTATTTATTTGAGAGAGAGAAAACGCATGCATGAGCAGGGGGAAAGGCAGAGGGAAAGGGAAAGAAAGAATCTCCAGCAGACTCCCTACTGAGCACAGAGCCTGATGCGGGGCTCAATCCCATGACCCTGAACCAAAATCAAGAATTGGACACCCAATCAACTGAGCCACCCAAGTGCCCTGGAAAAGATTTTTAAAATGACATCATTCAGGGTTGCCTGGCTAGCTCAGCTGGTAGAGCATGTGACTCTTGATCTCAGGGTTCTGAGTTCAAGCCCCATATGGGTATGGAGCCCACTTTTAAAAAAAAAATCAGGGGTGACTGGGTGGCTCAGTCAGTTAAGCATCTGCCTTTGGCTCAGGTCATGATCTCAGGGTCCTGGGATCGAGCTCCACATCAGGTTTCCTGCTCACGGGCAGCCTGCTTCTTTCTCCCTCTCCTCCCCACTTGTGCTCTCTCCCTCATATCTCTGTCTCTGTCTCTCAAATAAATAAATAAAATCTTAAAAAATAATATAAATTGAAAAAACATTCAAAAACGTATATTTAAGCGAGAGCCCTCGGAGCATGGCCACGGCTGCTCAACCCCGGACCGCCGCAGCACGGCAGAGGAGGGGCTGGAGGCTCTGAGGAAGGAGAGGCCGGCCGGACTGCAGGCGACGCACCGGGATCCTGGTGACGCAGCACAACGGAGGCAAAGCACAGGGAAGCAGAAATGAGAAACAGCATCTTAGCTCAAGTCCTGGATCTGTCAGCCCGGGCCCCATTCAGTAACTTAGCACTTGTAAAGCCCGAAAAAACTAAAGCAGTAGAGAATTACCTCATACAGATGGCAAGATATGGACAAGTGGGAAGGTATCAGAACAAGGTTTAATAGAAACCCTTGAAAAAGTAAGCCAACAAACAGAAAAGAAAACCACAGTTAAATTCAACAGAAGAAGAGTCATGGACTCTGATGAAGAGGACGATTATTGAAATTTAAGATGTTTAGAGACTGGAACTTAATGGAAAGTTCTAGGACAGATAATGCTGGGTAGAAGTGAAGATCTGATTGCTTACTTTGTTTATTGTCTATATGCCTTTTAAAAAATAAACTTATGGAAAAAAAAATTTATGTTTAAGGGGAGCCTGGCTGGCTCAGTTGGTAGAGCATGTGACTCTTGATCTTGGGATTGTAAATTCGAACCCTATGATGGGTGCAGAGATTACTTAAAAAAATAATAAAAATCTTAAAAATAAAATGACCTCATTCTATGAACAGTCTCCTTTTTGAAGGGGTTGTATATTGGCCCTAATCATTTCTTGAGAACAGTTTGGAAATAGATACCAAAAATTTTTAAATGCCTTGTTTTTGATCCACATTTTTCAATATTTATCCCAAGGATATAATCAGACAATTTTTCAAAAACGTACATATACAGATTCCCACTGTGGTACTACTGAAAAGGTCAAAATATTCAAAATAGCTTAAATTTAACAAATTACTTTAGCACTGTTTAAATTCTGGTGCATTCAAAAAATAAATTCTGGGGGCACCTAGGTGGCTCAGTCGTTAAGCATCTGCCTTCGGCTCAGGTCATGATCCCAGGGTCCTGGGATCGAGCCTCACATCGGGCTCCCTGCTCCGCAGGAAGCCTGCTTCTCCCTCTCCCACTCCCCCTGCTTGTGTTTCCGCTCTCGCTGTGTATCTCTCTATCAAATAAATAAATAAAATCTTTAAAAAAATAAGTAAATAAATTCTGGTATATTCACACAGTGGGAACTTATGCAGGTGCTAATGATTGATATGAAATGTTCCTTGATATACTGTTAAATGAAAAAAAATTCAGGTTTCTAAAATACTGCATATACATTATGAGTCCCACCTTAGGATTTCAAGTGGTTTTTTTTCCTGACTTTATAATTTTTATATTGTTTGAATTTTTTATACATGAGTCATCTTTTAAAAACAGACAAAACAATGAAGGTATTTTCATTTGAAAAAAACAGGTGAGGTGTTAAGATGTACAGAGGGATAGCACTGTCTGTTGGGAATCCTGACACCTCATTTGTGATCTCAGAACAATCTGGTGGAAATAGTGCAGAGTTCAAATTGCAAGAAGCCTATATTCTTTTTTGCTTTAAAGATTTTATTTATTTATTTGTCAGAGAGAGAAAGAGAGAGAGCACAAGCAGGGGGAGTGGCAGGCAGAGGGAGAAGCAGGCTCCCCGCTGAAAAGGGAGCCCACTGTGGGACTGGATCCCAGGACCCTGGGATCATGACTGAGCAGAAGGCAGCCACTTAATCGACTGAGCCACCCAGGCATCCTGATAGCCTATATTCCTGATAAAGTTTATTCAACTACACAATGGTGGCATTTTATTTACTTTGGTTAAATTGTATTAAGTCCAATATAATAAAAATGAAAAAGATTTTCAGAATTTTTTCCCAAATACAATAAACTCATAAACTAACAAAGTAAAATGATTACCTATCTCCCTTTGGTTTTCTTTTTTGTAGTGTCTTCCCTTTGGGTCTTCTTTCACTTCCTAAACAAGGGTTCCCACCAGGTCCAGTTACCCGTATTGATTCAAGGCCTTTGGAAGATTTTTTAAATGTGAATTCCACTGGTTCTCCTTCTTTTAGGCTTCTAAATCCTTCCATGAATAATTTGCTCTGTAAAGAACAGGGGAGGGACAGAGAGAAAGAGAAATCATGATTATGAATACTTTAAAGTTTTCTCTATGATTTAAAAATTAATATAGCAAGATATTCACTACTATCCATTATGAGGTATAAAGTCTCTTTTAAGTTCAGTAAAACTTATACCATTTTCAAATTCCTGTTACAGTGCTGCAATGGAAGATAAACTAATACCATTTTAAAAGCAATTTGACAATACTTAAAAAATTTTAATGTGCATATTATTTGACCCAGCAATTCCACGCCAAGGACTCTCCTACAGACATACTCACACACAAAGGTTCAAAAACAAAAGCAAAAGAAGACCTATATCAAAATTCACTACAGCACTGTCTGTTAAAAAAAAACTACAACTACCCTATCAATGGAAAACTGATTACACAAATTACAGTACAGCTATATAATGTAATATTATTGAGCCATTAAAGGAAGATCTACATGTCTTGCCATTTGTGACATGGACAGAACTAGAGAGTACTATCCTAAGTGAAATGAGTCAGAGAAAGACAAAACTATGATTTCACTTATATGTGGAATCTAAAAAACAAAACAAACGAAGCAGAAATAGATCCATAAATACAGAGAACAAAACTGATGGTCGGGGCAAAATGGATGAAAGGCAGTGGGAGGTACACACTTCCAGTTATGGAAAGAATAAACCACAAGGATGAAAAGTCATAAGGAATATAGCCAATGAAAGTGTAATAGCACTGTATGGGAACAACGGGCACTACACTTGTGAACACAGCATAATGTATAAACTTGGCCAATCACTACGCTGTATACCTGAAGCTAATGTAACATTGTGGGTCAACCATACGTCAATTAAAAAAAATAATTTTTAAAAAGATTTACAGGTATTAATGTGAAAAAATAAACACATAATACCGTTGAGTAAAAACATATAGGGCAAAGAACAGCCTATCTACCATAATGCCATCTATATAAATAAGGTTTGTTTTTTTTTAAGATTTTATTTATTTATTTGACACAGAGAGAGAGAGAGCATGCGAGCACAAGCAGGGGGAGTAGCAGGCAAAGGGAGAAGGAGAAGCGGGCTCCTCATGGAGCAGGGAGCTCCATGTGGGGCTTGATCCCAGGACCCCAGGATCGTGACCTGAGCAGAAGGAAGATGACACCCAGGCACCCCTATAAATAAGTTTTTTAAAAGATACATGTGTATTTATATAGAGATGGGGTTTGACACAGCAGAGAGCAAATCATAAAGTCATTTTCTTCAGTCCTTTTTTTTTGGAAAGTGGTGAAGCTTGTTGGTATATAGATTATTATAATTTGAAAGGAAACAGATTTTTTCTTTTTTTTAATTTAATTTTAGTATGTTAATCACCATACCTCATTAGTTTTTGATGTAGTGTTCCATGATTCATTGTTTGTGAAACAGATTTTCTAATTTGAAAGATGGCTGATTTTTGTGGGAAAAAAAGTTTCCTGATTGCAAAAGTATAACCTTGATTAAAATATTAATTGGCTCTTTTGATCTAACTCTTTTCATCAAAGTCAATATGCCAATTCAAAATATACTAAAAGTAATTAAATCATTAAATCATTAGTTTTATTTCTTAAAACACCTTTGTGTATTTTATGGGTCTAATTTGGAATATCATGTAGTTTTCAAAGACTTTTATGAATTTGGGGGCAAAAGGAAGCAAAACTAAATATGATGGGAACCCTTAGGTCAAGTCCATTTCTTTAAGTAAACAACCATTCCATCTCTTCTGTTTATCCATAAATTTAAGGGATTTGAGTTTCCCCACATGTGTTCTATGGCACAATGATTCTGAGAAAGACTCTATGAACAAAGGATTTTGTGCTCAAATAAGTTTGTGAAATGCTCTATCTTGTTTGTTTCTCCTTAGTTGAGTCACATTAGCATATTAAAGTCTCTGAGATTCTATACCCCTCACCTCTGCCACCTAAATAAAAATCTTGTTTGACTGTGTTTATTTAACCCAGCAATTTCCTGGCCAAATTGATCCCAGAGCCCTTTCTTTATGACTACAGTTGTCAAGCATACTTAGGGAAATACTGGACCACAAAGTCTTTACTCCTTCCAAGTCCATGACTCTAAAGGCAGCTGAATAACTACATACAACCAAACAATTATATGGAACAAATAAAAACACTTCAAAATTCAAGACTAAAGGAGACTATTCATGGTGAAAGTAATATGACACATGGAAACAGGGTTTTTAACCAGTCAACTGATGCTTCAAAATCCTTCATGTGGAAGTCTGCAATTTGGCAGCACCTTTTTTGCTGTTTGATGCTATGCAGAAGTCGGGGCGGGGGGGATCACAACTGCCTATACTCTTTAAAATTAAACAAAAAATTGTTTTTAAAGCTTTATTTAATATTTTTAAATCTTTTTTTTTCCTCCAAAGCTTTCTCCTCACTAATTAGAAATAGTTCTTTTGCTTTCATTTCTCACTTCCTACTCAAGAAAATGCAGATTATCAAATCAGATGAAGTGGAGCATACACAAGTCAGTTATAGCAATAAAGAGAATGAAGGGATAGCAGTTTTAACTAGAGCTATCACATGTTCATATGTTTTGTTTCTGTAATAAAAATTCTATCACCTATGTCCTCACAGTTCCTGGTATATGGGTGTACTTCATTTTCTATTATTACAATTTTTGACAGGTATCATTTATAAGTGAATTGCTTCTCCAAATCTAAAGTTAAATTCTACTCTTATGGACCACTAAGTTCTGGCTATTTCTCATGGTATTCTTAAAGAATATTTTTTAAAAAATTCTATCTTGTATTGCTCCTTCCCCAAATTAGTACAGAAGGCAATTTAGATTCATACTAAATGACAAGAATTATTGACAAGAACCAATACCCCTAAGAAATTCTAATGGCTTTGCAAGAAACAGATAAGGATTCACAGAGAATACTGTTATCTTTGTTCCTATATCAAAATTGCTGCTACACAGGTGGGAAAGATTTGTTGAAAGATGGGGAATTCTCTATTGTTTCTTCACAAAAATCAACTTCTCCCCTTGACTCAACAATTTTTATTAAAGGTGCCTCCATTTTTCTAGTCACACTGATTCCAATCCTTAGTTATACCCAAACCGTTCACTGAATCTTGTGCATTCGTACTTCACAATCTCTATTATCTGCTCCAACCATTTCATTGGATTGCCACTGCCCTACTTCAGGCCCTAACTATCTCCTACCTGGTTAACCATATGGTTTCCTTATTGGTATTTCAGCACCAAGTCTCCTCCCTATTCCATAGTATCTTCCATATCTACACATTCTCTCAGAATAAATCTTACCCTACTAGTCTCCTGTCTCAACATTTCTACAGGATCTCTCCTAGACTGTAGGTTGAGACCATTCATAATCTTCTAGTTATACTTTCCATTTCTTTTCCCATTACTGTAAATCACAATTCCTCCAATTAATAAAGCTGGCTGACTTGTACTTCCTTGAACACACTTTATGTTTTGTCATCTCTGCACTCCAGCTTATGCTGGTGGGGATGCACGCTCCTAGTCAGAGCTCTATCAGAATCTTACTAAAGATTCCAGACCCAGTTCAAATGATCCTTTATGTAATCATCCTCAATTGCTGCAAGTTGTAAATTCTCTCCTCTTTCACTTAATTGATTCTTCTGTATAATTTTCACAATATACTGCTGTGTAATGCAGATACTTGTGTATGCCTTACTTTTTATTTGCTCTTTTGGCTTTATCTTCTCCCGAAGGCCAGGGATTTTGATATATATCTTAGTATTTCCCAAAGGGCTTATTTAGCAAAATGGCTGCAAATAGATATCATTCAGTACGTACTTAAAAGAATTCTGGACTTAGCAAGAGTAAGATCCTTAAGGGTTATTTAATCCAACTCCCACTTGAAAAAAAAAAAAAGGTGAACTGAACTTGAAGGAGTTAAGTGAATTACTCATGCAAAGTCAAATTTTTAGGCTTCCACCTCTACTACATAAAATAAATTCTCATATTTTTAGTGTCAAGGTGACACTGTATATAGTACATGTGGAATAAAGAAAATACTTATAGGATTATTATGTTTCAGGGTAATAGCATTATTTTCTAACTCCATTCCTTGTTCTTCCTTCTACCCATATTCTCTAATCCTCCTCATTTAGATGCCAAACAGTCCATCAAATTCTGCCCATGGTGAACCAAGAATGCAGATTTATGTAGATTTTTCCTTGACCTACATATAAGACTTTCATAAGGCAAGACTTTGGTGTTTGGGCTTATATGTCATCTGTGACATTTGTCTGGACAAAACAGAAGGTTATTCTCTATAGGACAGAATCATCGTTATTGAATGAATAAATGCACAAAGGAAAGAAGAAGCATTTAGAAGAAGCTGCTGACATGCCTACTAAGATATCAGGCACTTACAATAAGAACAGGCCAATTTTGAACGTGTTCATATTAAGTTAATTCATCTGACACTTTTTATTCATGTTCTTCTTCCTCCAATCAAATAAGGCTCCCTTTTCTCCCACTTCCCTTTATTCCAAATTTTTAAATGCATTGTTGCTCAAATTTATTTCAGAATTAGAAAAATACTGGCTTTCGATTTCCTCGCTATACTCCCTTTCCTCCTCCCAATCATTTTTAAATGACTTGCAAAGAATGGCAGTAATATGGAGACAAATGAGAAAGGTCCATTTGTCAACTACTTCTATCCCACCTTCCAGTTAGTAATAGGATTACTTATCTCTCTTGGCACATGCTATTTCTTTGCAACTAGACTGGGAAGGCTCTGAAGTGTTGCTACAGTTTTGTCTTTGTTTCTCCTTAGGAAGCTTAAGCTGACTTCCAGTTCAAGATGGCAGGGTGATCAAACACATGCCTCATGGTATTCTTTAAAAGCCATCAAGGGCGCCTGGGTGGCTCAGTCGTTAAGCATCTGCCTTCGGCTCAGGTCATGATCCCAGGGTCCTGGGATCAAGCCCCACATCGG